GTTTGTCCCTATCCAACTTCCTTCCTCTTGATATCTTGTCTACTGTTGTGACTCTAGAATAATCTTGCTTCTCTGTATGATAAAATTCAGAAAGAGGAACAATTAAATATTAATGCTCTTTTGTTTGTGGCAACAGGTGTAGGAAGTACAGGCAATGTGTATTGAATTTGATGTTACCTTGTTTTTCTCAGGTCAGACTATTTCCAGGTTACCTCTTTACCAACATTAGGAGTCATAGGTTCAATTATATAGAGTGAGGTGCTCAAATAGGGTAGAGTCCATCACCTTAAACTGGGCTTTTGAGAGCTAAGGAAGCTTGGGGCAGTCTGTCAATCTACTCTGACACCTATTTGTTGGCATGAGTGGGAAGCAACTAGACAACAGCTAACAACAACAACTAAGTATTCATGCAAGAAAATGCTCATGCTTATTACCATCCTTTTTATAAGGGGTTCTGGTGGTGTGGTGCCTAAAGAATTTGGCTGCTAACAAAGAGGTCAGTGGTTCAAAGCCACCAGTCACTCTACAGAATAAAAATGAGGTAGTTTGCTTCCATAAATATATACAGCCTTGAAAATCCCATGGGTGTTGCTATGAGTCAGAATCGACTCAATGACAGTGAGTTTTTGAGGTTTATCATCTTCATCGTTGTCAAGGTCCAGTGTCTTATATGGTAGTGTTCATTATCTTCTGCTACAGGTTATGAAGCTAAGTAGTATTTACTAAGTTAGTAAAAATCTATATCTCCATTTTGCCATAGCTTTATAAATATGTAGTAGAGTTGTCTGTCTCTCATACTGTATGTGATAAACTGAAGTCCTCATAAATTAATGGAGTGACAGTAATTTATAATGAGAATAACATCCCATTATTAATATTAGTAATATATAAAAAAGGAGCTCTCTGGTGGTATAGTGCCTAAGGCATTTGACTGCTAACCAGGAGACTAATTCAAATCCACCAGGCACTCCACGGAAGGAAGATTGGGCAATCTATTTCTGTAAGGACTTACCACATCAGAAAAACAAAGGGGGTCACTCTGAGTCTTAATCGACTGTAGGGTAGTGAGTTTTTTTTTTAATAATATATAATAATTAGTAATATTATTCGTCAATAAATATTACTTCATTTTACAAGGTAGAGAGCATTAAGTTTAAAAGCAGCTATTGAACACCTACAGAGTATAAAGCTTTTGGGTTTGAACAGTAGAGAATAAAATTTTGAGAGCAAAGTTTTCCAAGAGTCTTATTCCAGGACGGAAGCTAAAATGATACCATACAAGTAATTGGATTTTAAGTAATAATATGGAATTTTATGAGAGATGTAAGAAAACTTGTAGGAGAAAGAATTTCTTTCATCATTAGACAATCATTGAAGGTTGTTTACAGAAGGTTTCTCTGTAGTTGGGTCTCAAAAGTTTGAGAAGGATGAAGCAGTTGGAAGTAAAAAAGATCTCAGGAAGAAAAGAGCAAGGTGAGATTTCTAACTTCATTCCTGTATGTTGTTAATCTTTGGTTTTTGCGTTGTTTCCTTCATGAATTTTCTACCCAATGATTTACTAATCTATACTCCTGTTCTTCCATTGCATTCTGAATACATCATATTATATACACAATTAAAGAAATATTTGTCAATTTAAAAACTATACTTAAAATACTCATATTTTCTTGATCAAATTATATTACTATATAGAGTTGATTAAAAATCCATTTGCTCAAAAATTAAAAAAAAATGCCTATCCTTAAGGTTACAGAAAATATTTCTCAAAGTTATTAATAAACATAATTTGAGTAGTCTGATTTGCTTGGAATAGAAAGAGGTAGAAATGGGCTTTGAGACTGCAGATCTCTTATACCTGTGGCTATAATCCCATTTGGGAATGGGTTTATTTTGTTATGTTAATGAGATAATATTAGGGTAATATGGATTTCATATTGACCTCTTTTGTGGTTTAAAAGAAATTAAACAAGCAAGAGAACAAGCAGAAATAGAAGGATGTACATGTCATGTCACGTGAAAAGCAAGAAGGAACCAAGGAGTAATAGCTTAAGAGACAAGGACTTTCCTCAAGAGTCCACAGAAAGAGAAAGCCTTCCCTTAAAATAGGAACCTTGACTTCAGACTTACATTCTCCTCGGTGTGAGAAATATATTTCTATTAATCAAATCCATGCATTTGTGGTATTTTGTTTTAACAGAACTAGATAACTAAGATAAGACCCAAAATTTTTAACTAGTTAATGAAATATATTTATGATTCTTAATTTATCTTAAAGACCTCTGTCAGTATGTTAAGAAAAAGAACTTTCTTCTTAACGTATTAGAATGGACCCAAATGAAATTGGTAATACACCAATCAGAAACTCTACGGTCAAAAGGGCATCCAAAATCATAGACTACTGAAAATGAATGAGACTTTTATAATATTTTTGCCTTGAATGCTTACTGTAATTTTCAGTAGAAATGTTATATGATGAATCATTCTTTGCATGATTAAAATAAAGAGCATGATCAGTGTAATGATTAGGATACTGAGACTCAGATCCATAAAACTTATCTTTGCCATAGATTACATAGAGCCAAGAGAAATACATTTTATCCTTGGCATTCCAAAGTTAATAATTTCAATAAGAATTTCCAAGAGTAGGTTTTACTTTGGAGGAAGGTAAGGTTTATTTGAAGTCTCTGAATGAAAAGAAAATTTGCAAAGACAGAAGAGAATAAAAGTAGTCTATTTCATTTACGAAAGTCTGGATTTTGCCCGTCTCACAAATTTGAAAACAATGGACTGGAGGTGTGGATGGGGGCAAAGAAGAATACAATGAGGTAATTAAGTCTTCTCGATTATATTTAAATACACAATATATTTATATATATTTTACTTGCATATGACACCTCTACCAAAGTCATATTGATGTGCAAAATCTGAAAACAATTGTTACTCTTGGGAGTGAAGCCCTTGATTATTTCTGTCTAAATTTGTGAAAAGAAATCTTCATTGAAGGATATGTTATTTCAAAATTAAATCATCATTTACTTTGGTGGCACAGAAAACAAAGTGAATAAAGAAGTCCATGCTGACTATCCACTATCCCTTCTGAAATCACATTGCCCTACCTTTTCACTTCTCTGCTCTGTCCAGGAAAATAGAATTTCCAGATAACAAATACAAATTCTATTGGGGATTAGGGTTATGCTCTGATTTGCCTGGTGACAGTCCAAAGTACTATGGCCCAGATCCGAAATGCTTAAGCTAAAAAGCTGAATTGTGAAACATGAAATATTAAGTCATCATCTCTCGTCCTTTAATTTGGAAATGTAAGCACAGGGATTTTTACAACCCTAAAAGAGCTTTTCAGCATTTCAGAAATTGGAGGAAGAAAAATAGAAATGGTAATATTTGAGTTATCTTACCCCAAACCCACTGCCTTCAAGTTGATTCTAACTCATAATGACTCCATGAGACAGTACATCTGCCCCATAGGGTTTTCAAGGCTGTGAGTCTTTACTGAAAAAGACTTACATATATTTCTTCAGGTAAGCCACTTTTCAGAAGGAAGGTTGGGCAATCTACTTCCGTAGTGATACCGCTTCGGAAACCCAAGGAGGGGTCGCTGAGTCAGGTCTGACGCAGCAGCACATAACAGCAACAAGCAGCTGGTTGGCTCAAGCACTGACTTTTTGCTTAGTAGTCAAGAGCTTTAACCACTGAGTGTCCAGGCCTCCCAAATATCTCATTAGTAATTATCAATGAATGTTCATTTATAATTATTAACATATGTCAAACTCTAAATATCCTTCATGTGTTTAAAACCAAACATAGAGTATTTAGATGTTAAGTGTTTATAAGGTCAGTATGACTTGGAATTGACTCCATGGCAGTGGGGTAAATGAGTATTTCTTGCTGAATTTTTCAGGCTGGTATACTAGGGAGAAAGTGCTCAGTAAATGGCTGGGGCATATTATACATTTGCTGGTCCCTGGATCATGCAGTTTGTTTCCTCTCATACACTAATCTAAAATGTTGACTATTCAAATGCACCCAGCAGTTCAATGGAAGAAGGGCCTGGCAATTGGTTCTTTTAAAAAGTTGCAATTTACAAAACTCTATGGTGCAGTTCTACTCTGTAACACAAGGGGTCTATGTGAGTTGGAATCTACATGATGGTCCCAGGTTTTTTTTGGGGAGGAGTGGTTATAATATATTTATTAAAGTTCTGGTGATGGCATTTGACTGCTAATCAGAAGGATGGTGGTTCAAACCCACCAGCCACTCCTTGGAAGGAAGGTTGGGTGATCTACTTCCATAGTGATACTGCCTTGGAAACCCAAGGAGGGGTTGCTGTGAGTTGGATCCAAATCCACGGCCGTGCCTTGCTTGCTTGCTATATTTATAAGTAACATACTTTTATATAAGTATAAATCACTAACAGTTAATGTGTAAATACATATGTAAATGACATATTTACATCTCTATGGGGAAGGAAATGGAGTGTGACTTTATATTTATGACATTAAACTTTAAAGGGAGGACAAACATATCCTAAATGGTGAGTGATCAATCATGAAAAATATGGGCCCAAAGTCTATTGAATATGATAGGAAAAAACTAGTTAAAAATAAATTACAAGTATATATCCTGATTTTTATTCATCGAATAATTCTAATAATTAAGAGATGAAAACTAACAAGGAGCTGCATTCAAAGATTGATTGAGGAAAATATCTTTCATCAGCTTATTTTACATTTTTGATGACCCTATGAATTGGTCATTAACAATTGAAGGACAAGAGAGTTCAATTGCCTAATTGAGAAAGAACAGCTGGAATGTCTCTTATGAGAAATATTTATTTTTGCTCAAAATATCCTGTAACATCACATGACACCACAAATTGATTTGCATAAAATATTCTACCATTGCATAACACCATGAAGTAATTTCTATATTTTTTTCCCAGATAAAGCATTGCACATTTGTACTTCTTCTTTACTTATGAAATCATGCTGTGGAATAGCAATGTGACTGACTTTATTCTGCTTGGATTGACACAGGATCCTATGAAAAGGAAAATCATATTTGTCATCTTCTTGTTTGTCTACTTAGGGACATTATGTGGTAATTTACTGATTATTGTTACCATCAAGACCAGCCGGACACTTGGGAGTCCAATGTACTTCTTCCTTTTCTACTTATCCCTTATTGATACCTGCCTTTCTACTTCCACAGCTCCTAGAATGTTTATTGATGCCATTTTGACAAATCACACTATTTCTTTCAATGAGTGCATGGTCCAAGTGTTTTCATTCCATGTATTCGCCTCCCTGGAGATTTTAATCCTTATTCTCATGGCCCTTGACCGCTGTGTGGCCATCTGTAAACCCCTGCACTACACAACCATCATGAGCTGGCGGGTCTGCAGTGTGTTGATGACTATAGCCTGCATGTTGTCTTGTATCCATGCTTCAATTCAGAATTCTTTGGTCCTGAGCTTACCTTTCTGTGGTCCCAATGTGATTGATCACTATTTTTGTGACTTGGAGCCCTTGTTGAACCTTGCCTGTTCAGACACATATAATGTCAACCTGCTATTGGTGTCCAATAGTGGAGTCATTTGCACAGCGGGTTTTATCTTGTTGATGTTCTCCTATACTACCATCTTGTATTCTCTGAGAAACCACAGTGCAGAAGGGAGGAAGAAAGCCCTTTCTACCTGCATTTCCCATATCATCGTAGTCATCCTTTACTTTGGTCCTTGCATATTTATATATTCACGACCTGCAACCACCTTCCCCATGGATAAGATGATATCTGTGTTTTATACAATTGGAACACCTTTATTTAACCCTCTGATTTATACACTGAGAAATGCAGAGGTGAAAAATGCCATGAAGAAGATATGGAGCAAGAAACAGATCTTAGGGTACCAAAGATGAATGGAAGTTTCAAATCCTTCTTCAGAGTTTGGATTGACCTAACAGAATTCAACAGATAAGATTGTTTTAATATAGATTTAATAAAATTCTATCTTGGGACATGAGAATTAATTTTTCACAAAAGCAGGCAATAGGAACACTTGGAGTGGTTACTTTTGAGTCAGTATCATGTAGAGGGTGAGACAGCACTAGGTACAAACAGGCATGTAAGATACATTGGATTTTTCACTAGTAGGTCTTTGCTTGGGAGCTCTGGAGCATGGTGCCTAAGGCACTTGACTGCTAACCAGAAGGCTGACAGTTTAAACCCACCAGCCACTCCTCAGAAGGAAAGTTGGGCAATCTGCTTCCATAGTGATATCACCTTTGACACCCAAGGAGTGGTCCTTATGAGTCAGATCCAACTTGATGGCACATAACAACAACAACAGGTCTTTGCCTATTTTGAATGCCTAGCACCACTTTTGGTTTTGATCTAGTTTTTTCTCTACCCTTCTTGCTGATATTTAGTGTTGATTGACTATCAACATAAAGGTTGACAGTTTGAACCCAAAGCTATTGAAGAAATACCGGTTGAATCTGCTTCCATAAGGATGTTGTTGTTGTTATGTGCCGTCAAGTGGGCTCTAACACATAGTGACCCCTGCTTGGGTTTCCGAGGTAGTATCACTACAGAAATAGGATTGCCCAACCTTCCTTCTGAGGAGTGGCTAGTGGGTTTGAACTGCCAGCCTTCTGGTTAGCAGTCAAGTGCCTTAGTCACTATGCTACCAGAGCTCCATAAGAATAGCAGCCTAAAAAACAAACAAAAAAAACCTATACAACTGTTTTTTATAACACATGGGGTTGCTTCAAGATGACATCCATTCAATGATAATGAGTTTTTTGGTTTGTTTTGTTTTCATTAGAATTACAGTTGGCTCTGTATATTGTTTGTATTTCCCACTGGGTAGATATTCCATTTTCAAAACTGAATGTAATAATGCAGAGCTTTTAAGCTTTGCAACAGAAATACATATGGGATTGATAAAAAATTTGAATGAGTCTTTAATACAATCCAGAGAGAAGGTTAACTTAAAGTAAGAGGAATGAAATGTTTATAGGTAATATGTTTTAGCACTCAGGATGGATATCAATTTTGTCACTATCCATCTAACCCTAGTCTCTAATTACATAATCATTAAGCATTTAATTTCAGTTTACTTATTTGTGCTTTTGTCCACAAAGAAAATTAAACATGAATATTTTGTTTGTTTGAGACTTCTGTTTTTCCTACTAAATTGTATTAGATTTACTCAATTTGTATCAATTTTATTGTAACAAACGCTTTAACACATTTTAGTTTGAGAAAATGATGCTCTTTTTGTTGTGTGGACCTGTTGTTGTTGTCGTTGTTTGCTGTCGAGTCGGCCCCGACTCATAGCGACCCCTCCTTGGGTTTCCGAGGCAGTATCACTATGGAAGTAGGATTGCCCAACCTTCCTTCCAAGGAGTGGCTGGTGGGTTTGAACCGCCAGCCTTCTGGTGAGTAGTCAGGTGTCTTAGGCACTATGCTACCAGAGCTCCTTGTGGACCTGTAGACCTATGGATTCTACAAAGAGTTATATCAAAATATTAGTCACATATATATGCAGAGAAAGACACAATTTTTAGATTCTCTAAATTTCAAGTTGAACTCCATCCTAAGTAGTTTATCATTTATTCTAGAAACTACCGTCTGATTCTGTTACAGAAATGTTAGTACAGTAGTAGATTCCAGTTAACACAGTTTTTGCTTGTGTCTTTTACTATGTCAAGAATGTTGTTGTTGTTGTTGTTAGGCGCCATCCAGTCAGCTCTGAATGAAAAGGACCCTATGCATAGCAGAAGGCAACACTGCCCAGCTCTGTGCCAGCCTCCCTATCCTGGTTATACCTGAGCCCATACTTGAGCCACTGTGTCAATCCATCTCATGGAGGGCCTTCCCCTTCTTTTTTGACACTCCACTTTACCAAGCATGATACCCTTCCCCAGGGAATGGTCCCTTCTGACAACATGACCGAAATAGGTGAGACAAAGACTGGCCATGCTGGCTTCCAAGGAGCATTCCAGCTGCACTTCTTCTAGGATAGACATATTAGTCCTTTCAGCAGCCCATTGTTGCAAAAAGGGCAAGGAGGCCACATATTACTCAGTCTCTCTCCCAGACTGCTGTCTCTCAGCCAAATCTCCCATAGTCTCTCCCCTAGCAGTGCATGTCCCTTGGTGTCTTACTCAGCAATGCGTGTCTCGTGTCTCTTTCCCAGGAGCACATGTCTCTTTCAGCAGCATGTCTTCCTCAACCAGCAGTCAGAGAGAGTTCTGCTTCTAGGAGGCCTCCTTTTGAGCCTGGCAGAGTGGCCAAACTAGCCAATCATAGCATCAGAACTCTAAGCACCTGACAGAGAACCTTCCATAACATTGCGTTGTGCCATGCCCAACAGAAATAACCCAGGTGGATAATATTTACAATCAGGAGCTCCTCAGTTGCTCATTCCACCACTGAATTTACAATGACTTATGGGTAGAAAAGCCATACTAAGTAATTGACAACACTGCAATGGTACTGTTAGCATTCAACAATAGAAAAATACAAATTCACAATAGACTCAATGGCAATAAGTTTGGTTTCATTTTTGGTTGTCTTCAAAGAGACATCTTTGCTCTTGAGAGGTCTTTTGCAGCAGACTTTCTCAGTGCAATATGTCATCTGATTTCTTGACTGCTGCTGCTGTGGTGTTGATTATGGAACCAAGCAATGTGAAATCTTTGACAACTTCAGTATTTTCTCTTTTTATCATGATGCTGCTTATTGGTCCAGTTGTGAGGAACTTGCCCTGGTGAGCCCTTTCCTAATTTAAATTATGGTTGGCATCTTGGTATTGTTTGATAGCCATCTTGTGGCTAAGACTCAGGCTGCATGGGTCAGGAGTCACAGCCTATCTGGAACACCATCTAGTCAGGTAGTCCCGGAACCAATCTTGTAACCCTTTTCCATTTTCAATTCCCAATTGTGGACTTCCTCCAATTCTGTAGTCCCGCCTCGCAACAGTGATGAATTAATATGCCACCCATCATGATTTTGTGATTATTCCTTTTTTTTTTTTTTGCCAATCATACATAATTAGCCCTATGGCCATGACTCAGTGGATTCCATTCAGCTTTCTGTACTGTGTACATGCTGATGGTTTCCCTCATCCTGGATGATTGTCTTTGTTTTGACTTTGTCCTGTCCAAGACTTAATAATAGTGTCTCTATCTAAAAAACAAAAACAAAAACAGAGTAGGAAAATACAAAAGAGGAGTGTGTATTGAATCCAGTTTTGGTGTGCTCCCAGAAACACTGCATCGATAATGTCTCTGAGACATGCACTCAATATAGAGCACCTGCTGCCTCTGTCACTGCATCTCCTGAAGCCAGAGATAGTGCTTGAGATCAAGGTCAGAATTTTATAACAAAAGTAGCAGAACCACAAACAAGAAGGAATGTGAGGCCTCTACAGACTTCCTTTGTTGAAATCAGTGTTCTGATAGAGATGGAATGGGACTCTGAGAGCTACTAGGGACATCTTTGTGTGGAAATGTGAGAACCGTGAACATGATGATTAGTCTGTATCCACTGGGTTGATTCCTCCATGGGAGAGAACAATCTTTCCTTGCCTTGATCCCATGTGATCACCTCAACTAAAGCTGTTGTCACACAACACTGTTTTTTTCAGAGCTTCCATCTATATCCCATATTACGTCTGAAGATTTACCCGGGGACAAGTCTCAGGAAACCAAAACAGTAAAAAAAACGAAAATTCTCACATATTTGGAAATGATACATATAAGAGAATTGCAATATACATATATGTATACAAATATATGTGTGTGAGCTCTGGTGGCATAGTGCCTAAGGCATTTGACTGCTAACCAGAAGGCTGGCGGTTCAAACCCACCAGCCACTCTTCAGAAGGAAGATGGGGCAATCTACTTCTGTAGTGATACTGCCTCGGAAACCCAAGGAGGGGTTGCTATGAGTCAGGTCCGACTCGATGGCCCATAAGAACAACAAATATATATATATTTGTTTTTTATGTGTAGTGACAAGTGGGGAAACACATTAATATGGGAGTCTTGAAGGTTTACTATAAGGGAACAGAATATCAGTCTGGAATTGAAATATTTTTACATGTGGGCAATCACCAATTATTTGAGATTTGGTTTTCTGGCAAGGGCATCTTGATCTACTACTATAAATTGTATGCTTTAAAATACTGCATTAGATTTCTATTGCTGCTACAACAAATCACCATGAATGTAGTGGCTTAAAACAACACAATTGCACCCTCTCTAGTTTGGAAATCTGACGTAATTCTCACTGGGATAAAATCAAGTGTCAGTATGGTTGTGATTTTTAGAGGTTTTAGACTTTTTCACATTCCCTGGCTGATGCCTTCCTTTCTACATCCTCAAAGAAAGCAAAATTGCATATCTTTGTCTATTCTATTACTATATGTCCCTTTGTCTCTTTTGCCTCTCTTCCACCCTTAAGGTTACTCGTTATTATGTTTGGATAACGCAAGATAATCTCTCTATTTTAAAGTTAGATAATTAGCAAGCTTAATTTCATCTGTAACCTAAATTATAAATACTTACTGGAAATTAAAAATTCTTCAGATTTAGATTTAAGTGATAAATACTTCAGATATAAATTGGGTATTCAGTCTCCACAATGCTTTCATCAACATCAATGTCTGAAGGCCTACCAAGTCAGTGATCCGTTGGCATGGTATTCCACAAACACTGACCAAGAACAATACCTATTTATGAGTAAGAGAAGTGTGGAATTCTTCTCATCAACTCAGGCTTTATTGATGTTACTGGGTATCATTTTACCTGCATCCGCAATCAATGCCCATGGAAGTAGCAGCCAAGAAATCAGATGATTTATTGCATTGAGCAAATGTATTTAAAAAGACCTCTTTAAGGTGTGAATA